ACAACCTCTCCTCCCCCTTAAGCCGATCTCGATACCACCCTCAACCACCACCGTGAGCCTTAGGATGATCCCCATCATCTCATCTTTGCCATTTCTATAAGATTAAATTCTTGGACAAGCCGAGACATTCCAACTCCTCTCCGCTCCAAAACTGCCATCGAGCGTGGGGAGACGGGGGATACATCCAGAGACATTCTAGGCCAGTGTTCTATTTTTGTCCAATCCACGCTTCTTGTTGAGATCTTTATCTTATACTTATACTTATCTAAACTTACCGGAAAACACGTCAAAACGACCCCTCCCGACACCACGACCTCTTCACCTTCCGAAAATACGACTCCCTAGCGAAAATTTCAAATACGACTCCTCTGGACCGGATTGTTCACCCTGAGTACAAGCACACTTTTCCCATTCAGCCACATAGTACGGGCCATCTACGAAGGCGGCCATCACCACGCGAGAGGCATTGCTAGACAGCTGTGGGTGCACCCTGCTGGAATAACCACTTTTCAACTTCTCCTTATATTGTAGACAGTTTTCCTCGCCTTCAATATCCACTTAATTACACCATCTGCTTATAATGCAAATCGAACGGAATCTGATTCACTAGTTTTGCTCGCGTTAACCGCTCCAGTTGCTACTGTTATACTTGACAGATGCACTCAAAGGAATCGTTCATTAAGAATTCACGCATCTTTCCAGAAAAGTATGCGTCAGTGTGACTACTAGAGACTACGTAAAAAACTTCACGCAAGAAAATTTAGTTTTCGACGAGAAATAAACCTACGAAAAGAAATAAACCTACGAAAACCAACTCTGGAGAAGGTATCGGTCAGGTCGACATTAAGGAGGGTGGGACAAGGGGCGACGCGGGGACAAAGGAACGCATGGGAAGAAGTGCGCCTTGGGGCGGCCACGTATTAAGAGAAGATTGGGAGAACGGGTCAAGGCGTTAAAATTTGGAATAGATAATAGATACAAAACGACGAAGAATAGGATGCAGTAGAAAAAAGAAATGTTATTGCCATAGGTAAAAAAGCCAAGAAGAATTCTTAGTGAAGGCACTCCGTGAACGAAGTGGAATCATTCCCGCCGCCAACATTTAACAGATTCGCGACGGGAATTTGAACGCGTTACAGTTCTTTCGTTTTTCGAATTGTTACAAAAAACACAATTTTTTTGTTCATCTTGTTCTTATCGTGAATGATGGGTCTCAAGCCATAACTCACGGTTGGAATAGAACCATGACTTTTCCGCGAACGATTCCTTCAATAAAGTGTAATCCATTACAGAAAAAAATCTTACTTGAGCGAAGCGAATTTGCTCATCATCGCAACATAACTCGGCAAGCATATAATGAGCAAAAAGAAGTGGAGTCGGGAAACACAACCCATCCTTCATCTCGTGCACAATACGCTTTTCAATATCACACAAACGAGCCTTGTCTGTTGTAGCATCACACAGTCTATCGACGTTACCTGGTCGGAGTGAATCGTATTCCTCCATCTTCCTTAAAATACTTTGCAAAATGAATCTCTTATCACTGCACAGAC